TACTACCTGTTATGTGGATTTCTATATAGTCACATCTGATGCAACTATTTATATAAGATCATCAGGGCATAGTTGGAATATCCATCTCCCATTAAATAAACACAGAAACATGTACGCAAATTAATCATAAGAAATAACTACACGGGTTATTAGAATGTTCTTTAGATCTGACAGTACTAATCATTAAACCAACGACGTATAGAACTGTATCTTAGGTGTGTTATTTAAACCTCTTACCACACCACAACAAACAAACATACATACATACATACATACATACATACATTCATACATACACAGACTCTACAAAGAACTGTAACAACTGGACTATTTAATTACTGTCATCATTTTATACATGTCTAATAATGAATTACACTTATTATCCATAGTTTGTTTCTAGTGACCTGTTGTGTGGCGAGGGTGGTGACCTGTTGTGTGACGAGGGTGGTGACCTGTTGTGTGGCGAGGGTGGTGACCTGTTGTGTGGCGAGGGTGGTGACCTGTTGTGTGACGAGGGTGGTGACCTGTTGTGTGACGAGGGTGGTGACCTGTTGTGTGACGAGGGTGGTGACCTGTTGTGTGACGAGGGTGGTGACCTGTTGTGTGACGAGGATGGTGACCTGTTGTGTGACGAGGAAGCTCACAGGTTAGGCGTGGGGACACATGACGGGCACTGAATAGCTGAAGTATCCGGTTCCCACATGCTAAGTGGCGCCGTTACTGTGGCGACTCTCGGTGACGGGTTTCAGTTCGGCTTGGACACCATGTGGTAGTTCTACAGGGTGGTCAACAAAAGTGAAGCCAAGGGGAGTAAGAGAACTTGAAAACCTTCTTTTATTTATTGATAATACATATATCTATGCATGTTCGCCATTATTGATAGTGCATTTTTGTAGTCTGGTTATCTATTGACGCTGAGCTGTAAGTACAACAAATTGAGAACAAACTTCTATAATGGTGTTTTTAAGCTCGTTCTCAAATCGACACCTTACAGTACAATGACGATGGGTAACCAAATTTGGAAATGCATTGACAATAATGGCGAACATGTCGAACACTTAAATATATATAACTCAGTTTCTCATTTTCTATTGCCCTCTATGGTTCAACTTTAATGGACCAGCCTCACAGCCTTTAGTTCAGGGAGAAGAGTTTCCCCATGTTTCAGGTGCAGAATTCATTCACCAATCTGGTGGGAGGAAAGTCGGCCTTTGGACGTTTTCCTTCCGTGGTGGAGCGGAGATGAGATGGCGCCTACCGGCTGGAGATGCAAGTAGAGCTTCCTGGACCGGGATGTCACTGATTGGAAATGGTGTGAGTGAGGCGGTATGGCCTTGTCGGAGATGAACTGAGTGGTCTAGGGCGAGAGGCAGGGTTTGTGTCGGCCCTGTACACTATCTGTATACTACAAGACACAGACACAACACAAAAACACAGATGCAGTATTGCCACCAACTGTGTCTCTCAATAAGGGTCTGAGCCACGAGTAACGAGCGAGTGAGGCAGTCAGCGGTGGTTAACTAGTTTAGTGGGGTGGGTGTCAACAAAGTCAGGAAGGGGGGGGGTGGTCTCACACCAACAGGCAAGGAAGAGCCATTTTGACCTTACAGTACTCTATCCATAAGGGCCATGAGTGTCCAAGCTAGAAAGGCATATGTAGCCAGCTCCACCCGGGATCAGCCAATAGAGAACTTAAAAAGATTTAATCGAAAATGCAAGCTGACGCTGGATACAGGCACCGCACTTTACACACGTGGTTACTGAATATCTCTGTACCACTATTCTCAGTCGCGGTACCACAAGAGTCATACAAACACCACAATAACCCATACAAGAACTGAGTACACAACTCTGAGGCAGCCAACATGGGCGCTGTCCTCTGTGTGGTGGCAAGTGGAAGGAGGTTCTGGGTGGAGTAAAGTGGTCACTTGAATAAAGTAGATTATGAAGTAAAATCATTAGTGGAATAAAGTAGTTTGAGAAATAATGTGGTTACTTTCACCCACGAAAATTTACAAAGGAATCATTTTTTACTTTAATTTGGTAAAGATGTGTTAATTACTCGATGACTATAGACCACACTTCTCTGCTGCCTTAGCTGATACCTTGGTAGTCGAAATCTACAATTCATTGTGATCGTTTGACAAGTAAAGAAGCAAAGTGAATTGATTTGATCACATTTCAACTTGAACTTTGATAAATTTTGGCCGATATTCTTCAGTAACTATGTATTCCCCGTTAAGTTTACGTAAATATCAGCTTATCATTGTGGACTCTGGAGAGGGGAGGAACAAAAAACAAAAGACAACGATCAATAGACATTTTACCATAGATATTACCATGTAAAAAACTACACACCAGAAAGAGAAGAGACAGTCAGTGAGGCGTGGACCGACTGTCATCCTGTTAAGTTACGACCACCAAGAACCCCCCTCATTCTCTTTCTCTACTCTTATTCCTCTTTCCTCCTCCTCCTCCTCTTTCTCCGTATCTCCATTCTCTCTCTCTCTCTCTCTAGCTTTAATCCCCGTCTTAGCCGCCTCTCAGCCCCCCTCCCCCCCTCCCGCCCTCAACATACCCACCCTCTCTCTCCCTTCCTCCTGCCCGGCTTCAATAATGTTGGTCTCTCCATAACTCACTACATGGTCTCCGGCTCTCACCTCCACACCGTGAAAAATGTTCCTCATACTACGATTTTATGTTCCTTCTCACCAGCTCTTGAAAACAAACCTCCGCAGCCTGCCACCCTTTATAGCCTGCCATCCTATACAGCCTGCCACTCATTATAGCCTGCCACCCTCTATAGCCTGCCACGTTCCACAGTCTGCCACCCTACACAGCCTGCCATCCTATACGGCCTGCCACCCTCCATGGCCTGCCACGCTCCATAGCCTGCCACCCTACACAGCCTGCCACACCACACAGCCTGCCACACCACACAGCCTGCCACCCTACACAGTCGATCGCCCTCCACACCCACTCATCAAATAAAAACTCTCATCCTACACAGCCTGCCTCCTACCACAGACTGCATCCCTCCCTTAGCCTGCTTTACTCCATGACCTACCATCCAGTACAGCCTGCTTTCTGTCATAAGCTGCTTCCCACCATAACCTACCACCCACTACACCACCACAACCTACCACCCACTACACCACCACAACCTACCACCCACTACACCACCACAATCTACCACCCACTACACCACCACAATCTACCACCCACTACACCACCACAATCTACCACCCACTACACCACCACAATCTACCACCCACTACACCACCACTACCTGCCACCCACTAAACCACAATCTGACACACCACAACCTACCACCCACAACACCACCACAACCTGCCACCACACTACACCACCACAACCTGCCACCACACTACACCACTAAAGTTAAAATTCACGGGGAAATCACAGGCTACTTACCAGGCCCAGAATAAAGATGTGGGGATTAGACTAAGCTTATCAGAACCAGTGTATTATTTATGTGTTGTTAACTTATAATTGTATTAGAAATTCATTAGATTAAACCTACGTTACCTGGTAATATGATTAAAACTGACCTGTAGATAGCAGTAGTGTTGACATCTGGCCGTAGACGGGGAGAAAAATGGTAAACACACGAACAGAAACATCGGGGCCGCTCGGCTAGCAGACGTTGTTACCAAGAGATCAGTTGATTGACTTATTTTCATGATTTTTGCTTTAATTTAAGTCCGTTATTGACTTTATAATGTATGATATTTAACAGGGGGAAATGAGCTAGGAATTATTTTATGATGTTCAGAGGATGTTAAGGCTGTCGATTTTGTTTATAGTGTACTGTACAAGGCTACCAAGGAATAGATGGGACCAGGCCATTCTTAATCCGCCCCTGACTCCCTGCCTACACCTATTAAATCAGTGGTCGGTAACCTGCGGCCAGCGAAGAGATTTCATCCTGCCCGCCACCGCCAGGACTTTAAAGATGAAGTAGACAGACACGGCGCCAGAAAATTTTCAGCTAAAACTGGCCAACTTATCCACCCTTGATACCGGCGATCTGATCACACTTCGTTCCTGCCGCCCACTCAACCTTCCCTGAGTTGAGATTTGTTGCTGCCGATAATAGATGAAACAGAGGAATTCAAAGTTAAATTTCAAGAGTGACAACATCAGGTGATACAGTATTTAAGACTCTCATAGCCAGGGACTGGTATATGGCCTGGCAGAAATTTTTATTTTCGGAAAATTTAACACTGGATTGTTGTTAATTCACCCAAAGGCAGAAAAAAATCGTAGGAGTTTCCCCAATCAGTACATTTTCCCGCTGGGGAATCAAATCCAAAATGACAACCATCGGTTATAGTTGAAATATAAAAAGTGCCATAACTTATGAACCAGGCATCATAGAATAACAATATTAACGTCATTTTCGATTAACTTTAACATGTCCAATATGTTGAGTAGTTTATGATTGGTGGTCATGATCAACCCAAATTCCAAGATGGCTGCCCAGAATTAGATTAGTGCCCATATCTCAGGAACAAACTGAGTTGATATAGTGAAATTGTTGTAAGGTTTTGGGTCATTTTTTATTCAATTAGCTCATTATTGACTGTTCATCATTGATAGAATTCAAAATGGCGTCCACTATTCAAGATGCTTCCAGAATACCTAAGACAAAATAAATTATTCATATGTGTAAATTTCAATCTGGCTTTGTATACTAAAAGCAGAGAAGACACAACAACAGAGGCTTAAAAATAAAATATTTAGGTGACACAAGGGAGCAGCGTCAGGAGCACACAAGGGAACAGCGTCAGGAGCACACAAGGGAGCAGCATCAGGAACACACAAGGGAATAGCGTCAGAAGCACACAAGGGAGCAGCGTCAGGAGCACACAAGGGAGCAGCGTCAAGAACACACAAGGGAGCAGCATCAGGAACACACAAGGGAGCAGCGTTAGGAACACACAAGGGAGCAGCGTGAGGAGCACACAAGGGGGCAGCGTCAAGAGCACACAAGGGAGCAGCGTCAGGAGCACACAAGGAGCAGCATCAGGAACACACAAGGGAGCAGCGTGAGGAACACACAAGGGAGCAGCGTCAAGAGCACACAAGGGCAGCGTCAGGAACACACAAGTCAGGAGCACACAAGGGAGCAGCGTCAGACACAAGGGAGCAGCATCAGGAACACACAAGGGAGCAGCATCAGGAGCACACAAGGGAGCAGCATCAGGAACACACAAGTGAGGAGCACACAAGGAGCAGCGTCAAGAGCACACAAGGGAGCAGCGTCAGGAACACACAAGGGAGCAGCGTCAGGCACACAAGGGAGCAGCAGGAACACAGGGAGCAGCGTCAGGAACACACAAGGGAGCAGCATCAGGAACACACAAGGGAGCAGCGTTAGGAACACACAAGGGAGCAGCGTGAGGACACAAGGGAGCACAAGAGCACACAAGGAGGGAGCAGCGTCAAGAGCACACAAGGGAGCAGCGTCAAGAGCACACAAGGGAGCAGCGTCAGGAACACACAAGGAGCAGCGTCAGGAGCACACAAGGGAGCAGCGTGAGGAGCACACAAGGGAGCAGCGTGAGGAGCACACAAGGGAGCAGCGTCAAGAGCACACAAGGAGCAGCGTCAGGAACACACAAGGGAGCAGCGTCAAGAGCACACAAGGGGCAGAACACAGCGTCAGGAACACACAAGGGAGCAGCGTCAAGAGCACACAAGGGAGCAGCGTCAGGAACACACAAAGCAAGAGCAGAGCAGCGTCAGGAACACAGCGTCAGGAACACACAAGGGAGCAGCGTCAGGAGCAACACACCACCATCAGCAGGACCTCTCTTGTTTGCATGAACAACAGCAGCGATAAACAAAGTGGATAACAAAAGTAAAACATTCCAGTTAAAACACACACACACACACACACACACACACACACACACACACACACACACACACACACACACACACAATATAAAATCAATATGTTAATTATCTCAATTATCCTTATCGTTCATTACAATCTAATTAACAGTGATTATGAGTTACAGCGGCACCACACACGTCTTATGCACCGCGTTGTGTCACCTCCCTTGGTGTTGACGGGGTCCCAGGGATTACAGTAGTAGTGGCAGCGGGAGGCAGGACCAAACAGCTCATCATAAACCTAGAATTTTATAAACTATAAAATAAATATTGGAGAATATTCATTATTCTGTGGGGTGGTAGACATTGTTTATGGTTATTGGTCTACACGTCGCCACCATGAGGGGACAAAGAGGGGAAAGGGAGAGGGGTGGAAAGGAGAGGGGAAGGAGAGGGAGAGGGGTATTGACAGGGGGAAGGAAGAGGGGGGTGGAGAGGAGGGAAAGAAGGTTGACAAGAGTAGGATGGAAGATAAATGTAAAGGGATGCGAGGAGAGGCGAATTTAATCTAGAAGGGTGGAGAGGAGGGGGCGGGAGGTGGGGGGTTGAAGAGGAGGTATTGGAGGGTTGAGGGTTGATGGTTGAGGAAGAGGTGGAGAGTTGAGTGGAGCCATATAGCGCGGGGTGAGGCTGTGACAAAGTGCAAGCTAGTGGTAGAGGCCACAGCATAATACTGCCCTTACCTGCATGAGTCAAGAAGGCAAGCATTAACTACGCATGCCTCCCTGTTGGGCGCTGTAAACGCTTTTGAGCTTCGCCTTGCACAGGATGCTAGGAGGGTGCCCAATAAACTAGCTACCTCGTGAGGCAAAAAGAAAAGTCTAAATAATACTGCGGCATGGCACCATTAAGAGGCACAATATATCATGATATCTAGAGCCACATCGTGGCGTTATATCGAAGCTTCGTAGTGTGACACCATATGAAGCCATTATAATGAGAGGCCCTGGCGTAACACCAAAGAAATATAGTAAAGCAAGGCACTATAACGGACTATTGTAGCAAGTCACTATAGCGAGCCATTATGGTGAACATCATGGCGTGGCACCACAGTGTAGGCTGTTGCCGTGTCTGGAACACTAATGAGTGCTGTATTTTTGGCGGCGGACTTGTAGTTGTAGACATTTTCTGTGGGCGTCATAAAAACGGGGGACTGATGTAACAGAAAACTGAGGCTCACTCTGTATCATATATGTTATGTCTTCTTTTTTTTTTTTTACTGTACTAATGGTTGGTCAGATGGAGGAAGGGAGGAAGGTAGAAAGATGGGGAAACAGGGGGAGATGGAAGGATATGAAGGAAGGGGAAATGGGAGGATACACACACACACACACACACACACACACACACACACACACACACACACACACACACTACACACTTGGGCCAATAGATAATAAAATATCATTTTTATATTATTTCACATTCTCATGGCTTATCAAACGTTAAGTCACCATCATGAGAGTGTTTCAGCAAAAATATCAAGGTGAGGTGAGCGAAGGTCGGTGTTAAGATGGTGGTGATGAAACAACGACTTGGAACCCAAAACTTGTATAGGTGTGGGAGATTATACACTGAGATCAAGAGACAAGTATGTTACCACCACCACCACCACCACCACCACCACCACCACCACCACCACCATATTACCACCACCACCACCATGAACCCTATATTACCACCACCACCACCACCACCACCACCACCACCACCATGAACCCTATATTCCCACCACCACCACCACCATGAACCCTATATTACCACCACCACCACCACCACCACCACGAACCCTATATTACCACCACCACCACCACCACCACCACCACCACCACCATGAACCCTATATTCCCACCACCACCACCATGAACCCTATATTACCACCACCACCACCACCACCACCACCACCAACCACCACCACCACCACCACCACCACCACCACCACCACCACCATATTACCACCACCACCACCATGAACCCTATATTACCACCACCACCACCACCACCACCACCACCACCACCATGAACCCTATATTCCCACCACCACCACCACCATGAACCCTATATTACCACCACCACCACCACCACCACCACGAACCCTATATTACCACCACCACCACCACCACCACCACCACCACCACCATGAACCCTATATTCCCACCACCACCACCATGAACCCTATATTACCACCACCACCACCACCACCACCACCACCACCACCACCACCATACCACCACCACCACCACCACCACCACCACCACCACCACCACCACCCACCACCCACCACCACACCACCACCACCACCATGAACCCTATATTCCCACCACCACCACCATGAACCCTATATTACCACCACCACCACCACCATGAACCCTATATTACCACCACCACCACCATGAACCCTATCCCACCACCACCATGAACCCTACCACCACCACCACCACCATGAACCCTATATTACCACCACCACCACCACCACCACCACCACCATTACCACCACCACCACCATGATATATTACCACCACCACCACCACCATGAACCATTACCACCACCACCACCATGAACCCTATATTACCACCACCACCACCATGAACCCACCACCACCACCCCACCACCACCACCATGAACCCTATATTACCACACCACCACCACCACCACCACCACCACCATATTACCACCACCACCACCACCACCATGAACCCTATATTACCACCACCACCACCATGAACCCTATATTACCACCACCACCACCACCATGAACCCTATATTACCACCAACATCACACACCGTTACGCGACAGTGCCAACACTACCAGAGAGGTCATCAAAGGTGAGGCACTCACCTCTTAAGACGTGACCTCTCTCGCCCCCACGTGACCAGGATGTGAAGCTCCCACTGTGTCAAGGTACCTGGGTTTATGCTCAGAACTTTAAGTGTTAAAGAATTTGGCAAATGTGCGATTTTTTTTTTAGTACGAAAGTGTGTTTTGTATCTGCCAGGGGAATATATCTCTTAGACTAATTTCTAATGGTGAGAAAGTTTTTGTATTTTTTAAATGATATTGACTTTAAATTGTTTTCTGTTCTTAAGTAGTCTTCCTCTATCCTAATGAAGGATGTTTGTCGGGCTAAGAAGAAGGTGATCAGTGCAAGGAAATATCGTCCTACTGTCAGATTTGATCATAATGTGTTTTAGGCTTATTTTTAAATTGTATTAAAATTTTCCACTTTGGCCAGATTGTTGGCAGCAACGAGTAACGGTATGTGGTGTGGATCATAATGTTTAGTCCTGGCCAACATATTTAATTTTACAAACATTTAAGCAATTTAAATTTTTTCTAGTATTTTCCTTCATTTATAAAGTACGATATATATTTTTTTCCATCTGGGAAGAAGAAAAACGATGAAATTTTGTCAGTTTCTTCCGCCGTTTCTTTAATTGACGTAATTCGATTTCCAAGCTGCCTGATTTCATTTCTTAATTTTATTTTAAAGTTTTTCTCGGGTATATAACTTTGACGCTTTACAGCTAATATTTTTTGGTCAAATTAAACCACAGTTTTGGTATTAAACATTAAGTTTCAAGTTGTTAAATGGATTAAACAGAACTGAAAAAATAATGTTGAAATTTTATAAGGTTCCTGGCTTACACGTATGGCTGACCTGGGCGAAATTTTGAAATGTTAGATTGACTTTTTAATTTTTCATAGTTTTCTCGCCTCCCGCCTTTAGTTTTCCCCAGTGGTAAAGTGGTGACAACAGGGCCATGTGAGGGGCCTGGGAGTGGACAGTGTGCCAGGTTTACACCCAAAGACGATCGTGTCACTAAACGTTTTGCCTCCAGAAAAGTGACACTGGAAGGTATACGAAAATTTACAACACTTAATATAGTAATAGTAGACATTAGAGTTTAAACCCATAAACCCTCTTAAACCAAAAAAGCTTATCATGTTTACTGAGATATGAAGGTTAATTTTCCAATAGCATTAGAAAAATAATTTAAACTTCCCTAACTCATACTTTCTCATCTTGTGAACGTTTCTCCCGTTTCTTTTCTCTCGAAAAATCTATTATAATGTCTTCCCACTCTAACCTGCTCGATAATTCCCACTTCATGCTAAGAACTACTAAGCCTCTTAATTTCTCCTGAGAAATGTCGCGGATGCTTCCCGAGGCTGAACTTCCTGATCAGTTTCCGCGTGAAAGTTAGTTTCTAGTTCACTCTCAGGCTTTTGAATGTTTTCGCCCTTGTCACCTTCATTTTAGATGGTTCTGGATTATGGCGCCAACAATGAAATAAATCTATTAGTGTGAGGGCCCGTGGGGTCCCTCACGGAGCGCCCCAGGGCACATGCCTGGAACAAGATTACCAACTTTGTAGTAAGTGCTGGAGCTCTGGAAAGTTTCAAAAGGAGGCTAGATAGATTCATGGATGATAGAAAGTAGTAGTAACTCTCGACAGGAGCTGCCATGCACAGGCCAACCGGCCTATTGCAGACTCCTTATTTTCTTATGTTCTTATGTTCTTATAAGATATGGGTTTGAGAAGGTAAGTGTGGGAAAGGGAGTGGGGGACAGGAAGTGAGGAATCAGCAAGGCTGTGAAGGAGAGTGTGTGATGTATGACAAGAGTCAGCTGGGGAAGGGAAGTGTGTGTGATGGAGGGAGGGAAGGAGAGGGATGGAGTGAGGGGGAGGGAGGGAGGGAGGTATGAAGAAAGGGAGGGAAAGGAGAGTGGTGAAAGGCGGCGGCTGGGTGAAAGTTAGGAAGCTGGCCGCTAGATGGCAGGAGGGAGGAGCCAGGGAGAGATGGTGATGATTAGAACTTCAAGTGTTACTGAATCCCGCAGAAGTTGTAGAACTCTCACTGACGAATTATGTAAATTTTTCTATTCACGGTTCCAGGCAGAATCCATCGGGATGTGTTCATAAACGACCCACTATAATAAAAGTCCTGTCGCC